TTTTCTGGAGCACAGCTTAAAATAGTTGAACCAGCCCTGAATTCCTGGTGTAAATCTATCTTGTTCATATTGTATGATCTTTGTGATACATTGCTGTAGTCCCCTTGCTAATATCTTATTTAAAATGTTTATGTCAATATTCACTAGGAATATTGGGTTTTCTTTATCTATTTTGACTTTCCTTGGTTTAGATAATCACAAATATGTTTGTGTCATAAGAGGAATTAGGTAGGACCCTTTTTATAACTATTTTTTAAATGATTTATGTAATACTAAAATAAATTTTTTAAAAATGTTTGGTAGAATTTGCTTGTAAATCCATCTGGTCCTAGGATTTTTTTTTCTTTGGGAGTTCATTTATGGTTTGTTCAGTTTCTTTTTCTTTGACAGGACTATTTAAGTACTCATTTCTTTTCGGTTAATCTCTGCAACTTTTATTTTTATAAATATCCATTTCATTTAGATTGTTAGTTTCATTGGTATATAGTTGGACAAAATAGCTCTTAATAAGTGCTTCTATTTCTTCATTGTGAATTCACCTTTTTCATTTTTGATAATGGTAATTTAGTTTTTTTTAATTTAAAAAAATCAAATTAGCTAATCTGTTTTTATCTGTTTATTTAATACTCCCCTCCCCCAAAAAACTGAACAACCAAAAACAAGCAAAAAACAACCCAGTTTCTAATTTTCTTAATTCAGTCTTTTTTTGTCGTTTTTGTGTTTTTACTTTCAATCTCTTTGATTTTCAGGATTTCTATTTTGGTGTTTAATTGTGAGTTTTAAATTTTATTTTTATTTCTAGTTGTGTGTGTGTGTATGTGTGTGTGTGTGTGTGTGTTTTAATAGTATGCCCAATTTGTTGATCTATCTTTTCTCTTTTTAATTGATGAAAACACTTAGAGATACACATTTTACCCCAGTACTGCTTTAGCTGCATCCCACAAATTTTGGTATACTGTGTCATTGTTTTCATTTTAATGAAGTTATGGGTTGTTTCTATAATTTGTTCATTGAACCACCCATTCTTTAGGATTAAATTATTTAGCTTCCCAATAATTTTTAATCTTTGCTTCAGAGTCCCTGAATAAAAGACGTATTTCATATTTTTGCTTTTTTTTTTTTGTATTTGTTTTTAAGGTTTTTCTGTCCTAGTACATAGTCAGTGTTTGTGAAGATGCCTTGCACAATTGAGAAATAGGCATACTCCTTTCTATTACCATTCAGTATTCTCCAGAGGCATATTGTAACTAACTTTTCTAATATTCTGTTCAGGTTCTTTTTTATTATTTAGTTACATTTATCTAGGTCTGAAAGTGGTAAATTGAGGTTCTTCACTATTACAGTTTACTATCTATTTTTCCTTGTAACTCATAAGCTTTTCCTTTAATAGTTTAGATACTGTATCATTTGGTACATATTTGTTTAGTATTGATATTCATTATATATGGTGCCTTTCAGCATAATGGAGTTTCCCTTCTTATCTCTTTTAATTGGGTCTATTTTTGCTGTTGTTTTCTCTAGTTTCTATACTGCCTTTTTTAACTTGAGCCGAAGCATAATAGATTCTGCTCTAGCCCTTCATTTTAACTCCATGTATATATATCTGTATGTTTTAAATGTGTTTCTTGCAAATAATATATGATTGTATTTTGGTTGCTAATCCATTTTGCTAACTGCTTCCATTTTATAGGTGAATTCATCCTGTACACATGCATTGCTAATTGTAAATTTCCCTCCATTCTATTCTTTTCGATTTTTCCTTGCCTTTTTCACCTGTCCCCTAGTTTGCTATGCTTCTGACTAATCCCTTCTGTAATTTATCCTCTCTCTTCTCCCCCCCCCTCACCTTTTTTCCCTGGCCTCTCTTTAAGAGTGTTTTACTTCTGACTACTTTCTTAATTTACCTTCCCTTCTATTTTCCACTCTTGCCCTCCAATTTCCCAGTTGGCTAAGATGTATTTTTATACTCAACTTTGTGAATTTGTGTTTTCTTCTTTCCTTTAAACAGTTTAGGTGAGAGTAAGGTTCAAGTATAGTCCATTTCTCCCCCCCCCCCAATCCCCTTTCCTCTTCATTGTTGTATAGACTACTACTTGGATACATAATTTAGGTGAGACAATTTTCTTCATTCTTTCTCTCTCTTACCCCCTCTTGTTCCTCTTCCCCACCCTTTCCATTCTTCTTTTGAGATTATCAGAACATAACAATCACTCTCAGGCTTTCTCTCTAATTAGACTTTCTGACCCTTGTTTGATGATGATAAAGTTCTGAGACTACATGTATCATCTCTCAATATAGGAATGTAAACAGTTTAACCTTGTCTGGTCTCTTATGATTACCCTCTCATGTTCACTTTTTAATGTTCTCTAGTCCTGTGTTTGTATGTCAGATTTTCTACTCAGCTCTGGTATTTTCATCTGGAATATTTTGAAGTCCTATCTATTTCATTAAAGTTCCATTTCCTCCCCTGCAGGTTTATACCTAGTTTTTCTGGGTAAGTCATTCTTGATCTTCTGTATGGTTGTGGCTGCTAAATCTTACATCATCCTGACTGGCTTCTAGGTATTTGGATAATTCTTTCTTTTTGGCTGCTTGCAGCGTTTTTTCCCTGACCTGGGAGCTCTGAATTTTGGCTCTAATGTTCCTAAGAGTTTTCATTTTGAGCTTTCTTTCAGAAGGTTACTGGTAGATTCTTTCAATTTCTACTTTTATTTTCTGGTTCTAAGATACCTGGTTTTTATGGTTTTCTAGTCTAGTGATTTTAAAATTCTCTCTCCTTGATCTGATTTCTACATCTGTTGTTTTTCCTGTGAGGTACTTCATGTTTTCTTCTATTTTTTCAGTCTTTTGACTTTTTATTTCTTAATATCTTATGAAGTCATTAGCTTCCACTTGACCAATTCTAATTTTCAAGGAGTTATTTTCTTCAATAAGGTTTTATACCTCTTATTCCAAGTTGTTACTGCTCTTTTCCTATCTTCCTTAACTCTTACTTCTTTCCCTAGTTTTTCCTCTACCACTTTCATTTGTTTTTTTTAATGTCAATTTTTAGTTTTTTTTAAAATGCTTTCTTTTAAGTCTTCTAGGAATTCTTGTTGGACCTGTATCCAAACTCTGTTTAATTTGAGACATTGCATGTTGGTGTTTTTGAGTAATTCTCTTCTTCTGAGTTTGTGTCATGAACTTCCCTGTCACAATAATGGCTTTTTATGATTTTGTTTGCTCTTTTTTCCATTTTACTTCTTGACTTTGGACTTTATGTTAGTGTTGGACTCTACACAATTCTGGAAGTATAGGCTGACCTGAACTTTTTTTCCTCTTTTGACCTTCTGCTTTCACAGCTCAGGTTAGGGAGCTGCAAACTTTCTGTGCTTCCAAAGTGATGTGATCCAAGGTAAGGTCTGCTCACTGCTCTTTTGGTCTGAGTTCTGTAAGTTCCTGACCTAGGTTTGGATATATCATTTGTCTCTGGTTGCTAGACTCTGCCATTGTTAGCCTATCAGGAAGCTCTGTTGATTCAGAGTGACTGCACTGCAGGCTTCCCTTTGGTCTGGGACTCCTGCCCTGATTATTCCACTGCAGGTTTCAACCTGAGCTGGAGGCTAGGACTGAATCTCTACTCTGTTCCTGGGATCACAGATACAGAGTTATGATTTTCTTTCAAACTTGTTCCTTGCTTACTCATTACATAGCTAGGGCCCATGCTGTCTGCCTTGGATCTGTAATCAGAAGTTTGGTAGTGGTCAAGAAAGCTGCCAGATGGCACTCAGACCTATACTCTGTGCCTGTTCAGAGAACCCTAGCATTTCTATCTGCCCCTGTGCTTCCTGTCTGGGTGCTTTTTTTTGGCCTTCTTTTAGTCACTAGGTTCTGGAGTACTTCCCTCTGCATGCTTCTGGCTAAACTCCGTTTAGATCATCCCTATCTCATTATGTCCATTTTAAAGCTTGGTTATGCTGTTAATGAGGTTTGTGACTCGAGGCAAATTTTTTTACCTCTTTGGTTGTCATCTGTGAAATCAAGGTACTTTCTAGTGTTGATTTTGAAGAAAGCATTTTGTGATTTTAAATCATTATATAAATGTAAGGTATTTTTGTTGTTGTTCTCAGAATGTGGCTTACATATTTTTCCTTAGTGCTTTGAATGTGCATTTAATTTGTTCCCACTTGGAATGTTCTCCC